GCTCAGTGGCGTAACGAGCCAACACCGGGCCCTTATGCAGGATTATCAAGGCGGGCCCCTACTACAACACGTGATGACGCAATGTCCACGAGTAGGCTTTTGCATGCAATACGCAAGGAACTGTTTACACCTGGCCACTTCATGTTTTTTCTGTGATCGTATAGCTATCCGATTGTGAAAAGACCAGGTGTAAATTCCCTTCGAAACGCATTCGAGACGGATTTGAATCCGGTCGCTCAAACCACTTCAGGAGGTGGTCTGGGCCGCATTCCAGACGACACTGGACAAGTGTAAATACATCTGGTTGTTGAAACCACATGTCAATTTTACTCCTCTAAAAATGCTAAAAAAATAAACGTGTGAGAGCGTGTTATAGGCTATATGTCATAGTCAGATATGACGACGCTTCTGCAACAACACGCATCACCGCAGATGAGCATCTATTCATCAAGCCAACGCACAAACTATCGCAAATCAAAGTGAAAGTAAGTCGCAGACGCTCGCTTAACACACAATCATCTTCATTAAAAGTAAAGAAACGAAATGATCTTACCAGTACTGTTGCCGCTCTCTCTAATTGCGGTCTTCGATTTAGAAATTTTAGCTGATGATCAATAAAATGCAGCTTATCTGTTGCTTTCGGTGACGTGAACTCTATTAAATCTGCATATAGCGCGGAAATTGAAGATCGGATTTATATCTGTTTTGCAAAAACACATTTATGTGACCAGCTGTAAATGGAATCGTTTTGATAAATCAGTAGCTATCCGATCTGAGAAAACGCATGAAGTGGCGCGCGCGTGTAACGTTAAACAGCCGACCCGGGGATTCCCCAGTCCCAGCTCAAAACAGATTACACCAAAATCCATGATTGTTCGTTTCACACATGTATTTAATGATCTGTAAAATATGTTGTTGTCATTATTTATTTAAAAGAAAATCGTGATAAAGTAAAATGCGATCAAACTAAAAGTAGTAATATGCGATAGGGGGCCCCGGCTGTCAATCAATATCTTCCAGTCAAGCGGGCCCCTGATTGGTCCGGGCCCGTAAGCAACCGCGTACCCTGCTTACCGATAGTTACGCCACAGTGTCAGCTCATCATCAATTACCTCGATGCGACGAGTAACTGTACGGCGAGACAGGCTCACATTTTCGAACTGACTTTTGCTGTCAGGGCACAGCACGCTAGCTGCCTCTACCATACAGTCTTTTACAAACTCACCATCTGAAAATGGTTTGCTGTGTTTGGCGATTTTGTGTGACACCATATAGCTCACTTTTGTTGCTGACTCCTGTACATTAGACTGCTTGGTAAAAAATATTCTGCCTGGCAGTTAAGTTGGAGGACAATCTCGTGGCTTTTTCTTCCCTCTCTTTTGCGGAGAAATTCACGGCATAATTAGCATGTTTAGCATTGAAGTGCCTGCTAATATTATATTCTTTAAAGACAGCGATGCTCTCCTGACATATCAGACAAATCACCTTTGAGCCGACGATCGTGACGAAATATTTTGACGTCCATTCTTTATTGAATGCTCGACATTCAGAGTCAACTTTTCTCTTTTTTGCTGCACTCATTTTGACAAATTGTTTATGCCGCTGGCCGTTTAGAATTTGTTACTTTGAGGAGTGAAGAAGAGAAGTTAAGTCGCAAATTGTAATTTCACACAGCGACATCTGTTGGATTGTTTTTAATAGTAGGATCGCCGTACATTATTTCATTATTATATAAATGGATAATTTCTTGAATTTTCTAAAAAATGACATTTAGGCTACTTGTATCTTTTAAAGTCCTTTTTTTTTATTTTTAAGAAAAAGCTCAGTATTATAGAATAAGCAAAAAAAAAAAAAAAACTTCACATATAAAACAAGAAATATAACACAAAAACAAGGTAGGTTACATAAAAATAAAACATTTATAAATTATTTTATGATTAACATATTACTGTCTTCAGTGAACTCATTTATAGGTATAAACGCAAATTATAATAATATTATTATTATTATTAGCTTACATTTAGGTTTTACATAGAAGGCACTTTTATCCAAAAAAAAAGGAACAACGCAATTCGTCAAATGTCAGTCATAATACAGGTTAGGCAATAATAATACAGGGCTAAGATTATCACAAATAAACACAAGATTTTGGCGCATATCCAAGTGTGTGTGTGGAGCGCGCACTGCATGGCACGGGACTGGAGGCGCGGCCGCGAACACTTGCATTTTACTATCAACAGTGGAAACAACTTAAAATAGGCTGCTACTCTATCATTTCTGGTCATACAGAAAAGAATAATACATCATTCGCAACTACATTTATTTGTCCAAACTCACATTACAAGAAAACGTTGTGCTTTTGTAAAATACAATAAATCAGGTGCGCTTTCATGATCTCCGTGAAGTGGAGCGTCTCATAAATGAACTGAAACAAAATATAGCCTACATATAAAGCTTAAAATGTTTACTTTTAAACGAAAAATTAAAATGGCTCGTAATTTTTTCAGACACCTTTATTATCATTAGCCTATAAATCACATATCTCTGTATGGTTCCAGAGACATGGCTCTTCTCATTCAGCACTGCGGGGAAAATATTATTTCCAGGTTCTAATTTGGCCTTATAAAAACCAGTTAAATCGATTTTTTTTTTCATATTAATTTGTGAATATTTTAAATGTTTAATAAAGGGGCAAAATGTCGGAGGGTGCATTTGGCATCTAACCTGGTTTTGTGTTATATTTCTTTTTTATAATAAGTCTTTTTTTGCTTATTCTATTATACTGAGTTTTTTCCTTCTTAAAAATTGGACTTTAAAGATACAAGTAGGCTAGCATAAATGTTTTTTTTTTTTTTTGAAAATTCAAGAAATTATCGATTTAAAAAATTAAGTTTAAACATAATGAAATGCATAAACAGGAGGTCTGGTTGGCACAGACTGGGGGAGAGGCCACAAATCTGTGAGTAGGCTACAGTTTACAAACCCGTGGGAATGGATTGCGAAAGCGTGGGCACGGTTTAATAATTTGTGGGTACAGATTGCAAAAACTAAAGGCACGGTTTACAAATCTGAGAGCGCGGATTAGAAACTCGTGGGTACGGTTTATTAATCCGTGAGCACGATTTGTTAAACCGAGGAAACCGTTTGAGAATTGAGTTTGTTTATAAACTGAGCGGACGGATTTTTTTTTTTTTTTTTTTAACAGGTGACTTCCCGGGATAAAGGCGGTGTTTTTGTTTTTTTGTGGTGTGTGTTTCATCCAAATTGCGAGCGCATCGAGTGCATCCCGGGGGCCGGATTGAAGCACTATGCGGGCCGGATCCGGCCCCCGGGCCGTATATTGCCCATGTATGCCATAGAGGATTGTACATTTACAATTGTGTTTCGGATGCTTTCTATTTTCTCATTGAAGTAGTTCATAAAATCATTACAGCTATACTGTAACGGAATAATTTGCTCGGGTGATGTCTGTTTATTTGTTAGTCTAGCCACGGTGTTAAATAAAAACCTTGGATTATTTTGGTTATTTTCTATTAGTTTGCGGAGATGCTCAGCCCTGGCTGCTTTTAGAGCTTTTTTATAACGTGACATACTGTCTTTCCACGCGATTCTAAAGACCTCTAAATTAGTTTGTTTCCATTTACGCTCTAGGTTACGAGTTTCTTGATAGCATGCGTAGCACTGTTGTGCCATGGTGCTTTAGTTTTCTCTCTAACCTTTTTTGATCTAATTGGTGCAACAATATCTAATGTACTAGAGAAAATGGTGCTCAAACTGCTAGTCATTTCCTCTAGTTCATCTGTTTGTTTGGGTTCTCTGAGCAGCTGAGATAGATCAGGTAAGCTATTTGAGAATCTATCTATAGTGGTCGGAAGGATTGTTCTGCCTGGTCTATAACGTGGCGCAACATGACAAATTTCAGCAGTGCGTATTATACAAGTTACCATGTGATGATCGGTGAGATCGTCACTTTGCGGTATAATATCTATATCGGTTAGATTGGTTCCATATGATATAATTAAATCTAGTGTATGATTTCACACACAATTCTATATCACACAATTCTGACTTTATAACACGCAATTGCGACTTTATATCAATAAATTCTGACTTTATATCTCGCAATTCTGACTTTATAACACGGAATTGCGACTTTATATCAATCAATTCTGACTTTATATCACGCAATTCTGACTTTATAACACGCAATTGCGACTTTATATCAATCAATTCTGACTTTATATCTCGCAATTCTGACTTTATAACACGCAATTGCGACTTTATATCACGCAATTCTGACTTTATATCTCGCAATTCTGACTTTATAACACGCAATTGCGACTTTATATCTCGCAATTCTGACTTTATAACACGCAATTGCGACTTTATATCACGCAATTCTAACTTTATAACCTGCAATTGCGACTTTATATCAATCAATTCTGACTTTATATCTCGCAATTCTGACTTTATAACACGCAATTGCGACTTTATATCTCGCAATTCTGACTTTATAACACGCAATTGCGACTTTATATCACGCAATTCTGACTTTATAACCTGCAATTGCGAATTTATATCAATCAATTCTGACTTTATATCTCGCAATTCTGACTTTATATCTCGCAATTCTGACTTTATAACACGCAATTGCGATTTTATATCACGCAATTCTGACTTTATATCTCGCAATTGTGAGAAAAAAAGTCAGAATTGCGAGATATAAAGTCGCAATTACCTGTTTTATTTTTCATTCTGTGGCGGAAACAAGCTTCCATACACGTGGCTCTATCATAGATTTTTTCTTTTCTTTGTACTATTGGAGCAAATGGAAATACAAAAAATATATTTGTTGTCATCTCTCGTTCCCCGCTATAGAAGTTTACCCAACTATGACGACTTCTGCTTCTGAGAAGCCCAGAAATGCGACAAGGGTCCATATTTAAGTTTTAAGCTATAAAACAGACTTTTATGTTCATGTCTTTTTTTCCCTCTTTCAGGTTTGCTGAATTGCAGACATACTCAGAGCTCGACTTCCACCCCCAGGACGATGGCCATTGTGATGTTATAATTGACAGACCAACCGTCTTCATGAAGCTGGATGCAGGTAATCTTTCCGTGGGAATTAAGGGAGCTTTTTGTTTAGTCATCCCAAAGGCTTCTAAATGCATGCTTCTCCTGTCTTTTGCAGGAGTTAACATGTACCATCATTTCTGTGACTTTGTCAACCTCTACATCTCCCAGCACATCAACAATTCCTTCAGCCGTGACATAAACATCGTCATGTGGGACACAGTAAGTGTTCATCTCTCTTAAACACACAAACATTGTTTGTTTCTAATGTCTTCCAGTAAATCATCAACCATGAGGGCTTAGAGAGCATTTCTTTCAAACACTAACGGAAGGTTTGTTGTTTAAACTGACTGCCAGTTTCAGGAGGTGTGCGGTTCCTGAAAGAGAAATATAAAAAGGAAACAGTGGGCTGAAAATAAAGTGACTTACGAGAAAACCTTATCCTGCCTTTTGTTCAGACGCTGGTATTTCAAGGGCGAGGAACTGAGGAAGAGGGAAAATGAAGGGGTGTGGAGAAAGAGGGATACTTTTTTTGTATGAAACAATGGAATGCAAAATTAAATCCACCTTGTCATATTATTATACATTTATGTACTTGAGAATTAAGTTTGTAACTGTGTCTAGGCTACGTTTTACAACCGCCTTTACATAAAAATGTGAGTCTCGAAATGTCCCATTAACACAGCAACTTACAATAGCATCTCAAATTCGAATACTGTCTGTATGAACGTTAAATGGGAGTCAAGACAGTATTCTCAACCATGAAAGTGACCAAGTAATATCAAAGATGGCGATGTCCATACAACTGAAAAGTCTTATTACTTTTGACACAACAAGAGTTCAATCAAGTTGCAAGTTAATTCGTCTAATCTTTATTAACCGAGAGCAGCGTTTAAATCTGGGTGGAGAGCGGAGCATTTGAGTCGCGCGTAGAACGAATCTGACGGGAACAGTTCTAGTGGAGAACTGTGAGTGGATCTAAAACCTCCAGATGACACACAGCTCATATCTCCGTCGCTGTACCACACATGAAAACAACTCCGCACACGGTAGACAGGCATTTGTGCAGCGCAGAGCGGCTCCCTCGTGACAGTTCAGTTTTGTTCAGTCCGGTTCCGTTCGCAAAGCACGAGAATGCGGTTGTGAGTCCTGAACTTTTCAAGTTTGAGTTCGGTTACAGAGTGCGATTGTCACTGTGTGTGAACGTCACTGTATTAAGGACTCGAGTCAAATGCATTCTGTTGTTGCTGTGTGAACGTGGCCAGTGTGTCTAGACTTTGAATGGTCTAGACTTTGAATGGTCATTAAGAGAGATTAGGAAAATAAGGATTAGAATCTAATCCAGTTAAGAAGATAAGTTTAGGTAAGGTAATGACTTTTAGTTCCTGTCTGAATGAATGAATTGGTTATTACATGACTTTTGACTGATCATGATGGCTATTTTGAACAAGCAGACAAAGGTAGCATACATTCATCAGTCAATACCATTGCTGAATATTTTCTCCTTAAAACTGCAGTGTATCAAAGTCCATCTAAAAGATTTGGTTTGAAAAAAAAAAGGAAACATTTAAATGTCATTTTGATGTTCAAAGATGAGTTTTAAGGGATAAAATTATTGACTGCAGGTTGACTTTAATAAAAAATCTTCAATGCATTTAATTGAGTTGTTTTGTCTGTCAGAGTGTGTATGGATATGGAGACCTGTTCAGTGAAACGTGGCGGGCTTTTACAGATTATGACATCATTCACCTCAAAAACTTTGACTCCAAAAGGGTAAAAGACTTTTACTTCACATCACCAGTCAACATTTTTATCAGCATCTGAGTGTTTTGGTGCTATTTAAAAGTATGTGTTTTTCACAGGTGTGTTTTAGAGACGCATTTTTCTCTCTCCTTCCAAGAATGCGATATGGCCTTTTCTACAACACCCCTCTTGTACGTATCCTTATAATTGGCATGCTTCTGTTGCTCTAAAGTGTCCCCCCCCCCTCCCTCCATTTAGCATTTGTTCATCTCATCATGTTCATCTGCTGTCTTCTGTCTATGTTAATGCTGCTCTGCGTGACATCTTCGGATGCTGTGCATGTGATATAGAATATTTGCCTTGTGTGAGACTAAACTCATCTGGTGCTGTCGCTCAAATCATCCTCATATTAATGATTGTGTGCCTCTGCCTTCTGCGTGCAAATGACATGAAGAGAAGATTTAACTGACAGATGTGTGTAATTTGATAGATCTCTGACTGCCACAGTGAGGGGCTGTTCAAGGCGTTTTCCCAGCATGTCCTTTATCGACTCAATGTCCCACAAGATGGACCGAAGGTAAACATGCTCTCACACACACACACACACACACACACACACACACACACACACGCACGCACGCACGCACGCACGCACGCACGCACGCACGCACGCACGCGCAAGCATACACGCACAGACGCTGTTATTATTATAAATTTATTATAAATATTAAATTCATTTTAATCCTTATACTTTTAAATACATATATATTAAATTGTAATATTATAATATAATATTTATAGACATATTTTCATTATTTTTTGCCACAGGCTTTTGTGTAGGATTGTCATTACCACTAGATGGCACTGTTGTACAATTTATTCCTTCACATGGTCTTTGTCATGTGGGAGCCCAATTCTGACTTTCTTATCACACATATTATAATATTTACTTCCTCTTTACCCACCTAAATAAAGGTTTAATCAACAAATTCTCATGTCTGAATGTATTTTGAAAATGGATTATATGTTACAAAATATATAGCTTAAGATATAATTGTGTGTTGAAAAATGTCTGAAATCTATGACGTCCTTCTGCTCTGTCAGGTGGGCCAGGTCCGTGTCACTCTGTTGGCAAGAAGCACTGAGTACCGTAGGATAATAAACCAGCAGGAGGTGAATGCTCTATCTCTCTCTTTGCTCATCATTGATTTATCACTCTGCTTCCTTAACTGCCCATTTAAACTCTTATTTGCTGAAGACCCCTGCTTGGTAAAAAGCCTTGATTTACTTGGCCTCTGTCCACATGAGTGTGAGGTCTCGTTAATCACCTTCTGAATCCCTGCTGTGTGTGTGTGTGTGTGTGTATGTGTGTGTTCAGCTTATCAATGCCCTGAAGACTGTGCCTTTATTCGAGGTCAAGCTGGTGGATTACAAATTCAAGTGAGTTATTCTGTCTTTGTTGTTTTTAAATGTAGCGATTTCTTTGGTGTTTGCGTGATTGAAAGCTGATGTGTATTCTTAGAGAGATGCCATTTCTGGAGCAGATCCACGTCACACACAACTCTGATATCTTCATTGGGATGCATGGGGCCGGACTGACCCACCTCCTCTTTCTTCCCGACTGGGCCGTCATATTTGAATTGTATGTAACTCTCTGCTTTCTAAGTGATCTGCGTGGCCAGCTATGCTGTGCTGTAGAGCTGTCAGTCTGAGGAATGTAAATACTTCTTCACTCCACTTCACTTTTAAGTTTTAGAGTCACTTTAAAACCCTCAAAGTTTATATAAACAGTTATTGGTGACAGTCTGCAGTGTTTAAATAATGTTTATACCACTTGATTAAAACAACCAAAAAGGTTAAAAGTTGAAACATTTATTGCGAGCTATAAATGACAAATGTGAGAAGTGTTAGCATGGTTGACGGACATCCTATGAAGAAATGCATTATGTTTTCTGATGTGTTTAGTTTGACTTAATTATGACTTTAATTTTGGGCTTGAAAATGGGACAAAGACTCTCAGGACTCATTTATATGCTCACAGAGGCTGCATTTATTTGAACAAAAATACAGTCAAAAAATAATGTTGTGAAATATTATTACATTTTAAAATAATTTGAAACTGTAATTTATTCCTGTAATGGCAAAGCTGAATTTTCAGTCTTCAGTGTCACATGATCCTTTAGAAATCGTTCTAATATGCTGATTTGGTGCTTAAGAAACAGTTGTGCTGCTTAATATTTTTCAGGAAACCATGATTAATTTTTCAGGTGATGAATAGAAAGTTCTAAAGAATAGCATTTATTTGAAATAGAAATATTTAGTAACATTATAAATGTCTTTAATGTCACTTTTGATCAATATAATGTGTCTTTGCTGAATAAAATTAAAAATTTCTTAAAAAAAAAAAAAATCATACTGATCCAAAACATTTGAATGGTAGTGTACTTAACTTAAAACAGGACATTAAAACGAAGACCATCCCCACCATACACATTGAAGAAGAAACAGCAATGTGGTTGATCAGAACAGGTTTTCAAATAACTTAAACTTGTTAACATTTTATCTTTAGACTTTATTTTTTTTTTAATCTTTATCTTAGCCCCTGACAACCACCAATCTTGGACATTTGGTTGCATTCTTGCTTAAAAAAGTTTCTTTCTGTTTTACCACTGATAAATGAATACATCACGACTCACTTCAGAACTCTTTTTTTCCGCGACACCTATCTGCATGTGTTAAGATGTATTCCACAGTGTGCATCTGACACCCATGTCATGTTATACATCTACCCAACACTCACGTAGATGGAGTCAAGCTTCTGTGCTGTACAACGTACTTTTTAATGTGTGTTACGGAGGAGGGAAGCATCTGACTGTGTCTGTGTGTGTGTGTGTGACAGTGAAATACAGCCTAATTAAACAGTTATCCATCAAACTGAGTCTGCAGAGACTTTGTGGGCCACTTCCTGCTAAGTTTGGGACATAAAACATCCCTCTTTCTGTATTCCACAGGTACAACTGTCAAGATGAGAGCTGCTACCGTGATCTGGCCCGACTGAGGGGAGTCCATTACATGACTTGGCAGAAAAGGGACAAAGTGTTCCCCCAGGATAAGGTGAAGAGAACACATACACACTAACACACACACACACACACACACACACACACACACACACACACACACAGACACACACACACACACACACACATACACACACACACACACACACACACACACACACACACACACACACACACACACACACACACACACACACACACACACACACACACACACACACACACACACACACACACACACACACACACACACACACACACACACACACACACACACACACACACACACACACACACACACACACACACACACACACACACACACACACAGCCAAACCTGTTCACCACTGCCTGGATTCATTCCAGTTCATATGATTTCATTCCAGTATTCCTTTATACATTACCAAAATCACATTCGGTGTGAGTAATGTTAGTACTTTTAAACTAGTTACATAACCTTCTATTAGAGAATTATAATATATTTAATTTTAACTCTCTAATAGGTAAATCTTTGAATATGTAAATATAAGGTAAATCTTGCTAGTACCAGGTTGGGACCCCCTTTTGCCTTCATAACTACCTTGATTTTTCAACAAGGTGCTGGGAACATTCCTCAGAGATTTTGGTCCATGTTGACAATAATAGCATCACACATTTGCTGCAGATTTGTTGGCTGCACATCCATTATACGAATCTCCCGTTCCACCACATCCCAAAGGTGCTCTATTGGGTTGAGATCTGGTGAATGTGGAGGCCACAATGTTGGATCTGACCTATTAGTAATATTCAATGGACCTGATCTAATATGAACGAAAAATGAACATTTGTAACATTACAAAGATTTAAAAAATACTGTAACAAATGTATTGATCATTGTTTGTTAGTATTAGTTGATATAGTGTGTGTATATATATTATATTATTTTATATTATATTACTGTATATTATTGACGAATATTTTGTTCTGTCTCAGGGTCATCATCCTACTCTTGGGGAACATCCTAAGTTTACCAACTACACTTTTGACGTAGAGGAGTTCATGCAGTTAGTCCTTCTAGCGGCTGAACATGTGACCCGGCACGCGGAGTGGCGTGCGAAACAAGCCCGAGATGAACTGTAGCCTGTAAAACATGGTGGTCTTCTGCAAGGAGATATATGAACACACTCCTACAAACTCTGCACTCTTATACTCCTATAGCCATGCTAATGAAAAGCAAATGGCTAATATGGGAAAGCACATTTTACTTTCAGAAAAAAAGCATCTTTTACATTCTGCACACTGAGTATCCTGTTAAAAGACATTTTATTAGAGGATGTATTGGTTTGACGCATTTTGTGTGGTTTGTACCTCCTCTCAGGTACAGTATGTGGGCTTTTTTAGAAACTACACTTTTACAACCTGATTTAAGTGCAGATTTGTGAATTATTTGGCTATGGGTTGAATTCCAATGTAGTTTGTAAGACATCTTTAGACAGCACTTTCCCCCACCCAAACAATCAGGTGATCAGGCTTTGGGTACTGAACTAATGTTGAGTCTACCCAGATATTTTGGTAGCATTATTTATAACAGTCAAACCATATTTAAAGCATTTTATGTGCTTTTTAATGCATTTAGGCAAGGGAGATGACCTCAGCTTCATATTTATTACAGTGTCAGTTACTTTTTTTATTTTCTTTGGCCAGTTAAAGTAGTCATTTTGTAAATGCAAAACTATGTTAAGGGATTCATTACTCCAGTCCTGTTGCACACATTAAGATATTTGTTCAGTATTGCTTCATTTTATAACATATTTTTATCAGTATTAAGATCCTCGGACACTTCATAAAGTTTCTGAACAATTGCAAAAGTTGCTGAAAAGTGTCAGAATTTTAAGTTCTGGTTTGAGTTGAAGTCAAAGTATTTAACGAAATCCTATGATGATTTTTATTTTTTTGACTCTGTTTTTGAAAACATCTGTTTTGTATTTGTATGCATTTGGAAAATGAAATTAAGCTATTTAAAAAAAAAATGTGTACGAGATTTCATCTTTCTAACATACATTGTGAAATAATGACAAATACATAAAACATTATTTATGGATATCACTAAATTTAGCCTTTATCATAAATCAGTCATTACAAGAACTTGACTTATTTCATCTGTTCTCTCTGTGTTTTATAGTATAAGACTCTATACGACAGACAAAAAGTGCACTGGTTTGAGATGTGCTGTCACTGCCATTAATCTCTGTGACCTCAAAGCTGAAAACGGGGACTTGAGGACACAGGAAAAACCTATGAAATTATTACCAGTTGAAACTATTCCCAAGAAAAGCTCTCATTTGAAACATTTTAATTGAGGGAAAATGAAGAAAAACCTGGAATATTTCTTAATAAATTGCCAGTTTTTCATGTTATATGCATAGCAGCCAGAGACATGACAAAAAAATTGCATAAAAAATAATTTTATTTACAAAACACCCGTATTTTTATTTAAATGTGATCAAATTAAAACAATTAATTTACAAACAGATTTCCATCTTAAAAAATGTGAGTGTAATATTTTATCCATTATGTCAAGATGAATATTAAATAATTGAGACATGAAAAAATTGTACCGAATAACATCACGCTCTTGCACGTGTATATTGTGGCCGCTAGATGGCGGTACAACACCATTAATAATTCTGTATCATTTCTTTCGAGTTTCCACCATGACGCTGATGTCCCGTCTCCTTCTTCTCACACGATGCATTCATCCTAACTGTAAGATTATTAACTCTCTAAAGTTTGTGAAATCCATCCATGGCGTTATATATTTATATTTAGGACATTATTTCGATAGTTTTAACACTTTTTAGATATTATCTTCTTACTGCTCTCTCACTGAGTTTTTCACAGTCTTGTAGGCCTACCGCGTATACGCACTTGTCAGAGGTAAATGATAAAGTTACGTTGCTTTCACTGTCTCTCGGTTGTTATAGAGAGGCTAAATGAGTGTGTGCTCGAACACAGACAGTTTATTACAAACGGCGGGCTGCACTTGCTCTGTAATTACTGCTAGTAACAGGAGAGTTATAGTCGCGCGCGTGAAGGATTATTCTCCGTCTCAGTGCTTTCTAATGATGAACCCTACACAGCTAATAACGCCAGCCTTTTCCCTTCATGTCTTATTCAGTGAATTCTTTCTCCGCGCGCGGGTGGCCTTATTTTGTCGTGTTTAAAGTAATGGGATGTCACTGGTGGAATTGTTTGGGAGTGAGCAATTATTACCGCCCTCCTTCCCCTCTCTTCTGCTGAAGAAATGTGCTCCCCAAACCCTGTATGATCCTCCTCATATAGCCTACTACACTGCATCATGTAAATCTTACCTCTGAGGAAACATGATGATTATAACGTTCCTTCCTCGAAAATGTATGTCTTTTCTGTTTCGGAAAGGTCATTTATGAAGTCAATTTCTTAATTTAAATGATTATATTATTATTATAAGAGTAAACATTGCATGGTGGTGTCATCTGAGGCGAAATTTAAATGTTTTTAAAATATTTATAGCTGTGCCTTTAAGAAGTAACAGGGTTGACAGCTTTAGTTCATTTAGTCATTAGCTTTTCTTTTGCTCAAGGTCATGACACATAAAGTGTTTATTAGAAAGATAATTTTTTATTTTTATATATATATATTTTTGATTATACCCCTACTGATATCCAACTTTCAGTAGTAAGTTGTAAAAAATGACATGATTAGTAAGTCATGGCAAATTATGTTTTTACATTAACTCATCAAAATAATGTAGCAGTTTTATAAGTTATACAAGATTCAAGTCAGTTTAATATAATTTAAGTTGAAATGACTTGCACAACTAGGCTATATGCTTACAAGTTTTAGGCAGCAACTGAATGTAAGTTTTTAATTTAAAAAAATGTGGAACATTTTTACAGTGTACAAACTTGAGCTAACCTCACAAAACACAGAGCTAGTGAGAAAAAGAAGAAACACTTGTCTTCGAAGAGTTTATTTAATCATTTTATTAAGGGTATATCAGTAAAAATGGTAATGGTAACATCTAAATGAACCGATTTTAAGTAAATACATTGATGTATAACAAAGGCATTTTTTTATGCATGAAGTCAGGTAGAAATAGCTCTTTATGGTAGTTATTGGAAGTTACCACTTTTTACAGTGTAAAATGATCTATTTTTAAATAGAATATGTGCAATACAATCTAAAATTATACAAAGAGACAAATTACAAATAATAGCTTTTATTTTGTATTAATATTGAATATATTTATCAGTACAAATGGCAATTTTTTATTTCCATGTTATTTACTAAATAAATGCAAATTAAATAAAACATTAAAATGTTTTTTGTTGATGCCTTTAGTAACACATTGGTGTTAGCTTTTTATTGTCACTGTTTGCACATTAGAGACTCTTTTAATCACCCAAAAAACGCAGTGCATGATTTAATAAAAAAAAAAAATGAAAAGAATATTTATTGCCAAAATCTGTCTGGCTGTTTGTGGCGGGCCCAACTTTCGTGTCTGGGCTGGCCCTGCTGTCTTTTGGCTCTATATGACACACTGTCTCTTTTATCCTTCTTCCCTGAGTGTCAATATTTCAGGAAATGAATTTTCGCTCTGACTTTCGACAGAGTGCTACGCAATGATCCTTCGGCACTGTTCAGTTATGATTCTCCCATTCTTGCCTCCTTTGGAACAGAGATTAGATTTGTTTGTTATCATCCATCACCCGTTTCCATTGTCTTCATGCATAATATCCATTATCCTGCGTGTATCAACGTGGCTTAATGATTCATCTCACGATGAAAAAAAAAAAAAAATAATTCTCACCACTGAACAGAAATAAATCAATTACCAACGGCTCATCTTACATACCCACTTCTACAGGCGTCCCACAAAGCAAGAAAACATTCTCTTTCAGAGGATAAATGTGGAAATATTGATTGTGTTGGAAGAAATATTCCTCAAGTTATGATCAGACATTTCCATAATGCTTAGTCCTTCGAGAGAACAATCTCAGAAGGAAGAAGTCTCAGCGGGGATCCTATAACACACGCTCTCTGATAAACGACATTTGTGCCCTTTCCTCCAATTCGACTCTGTCAGCATTATTACGACTTGTATTCTCTCATATGCCAGTTGTACATTAAATGCTGTAAGTTATATGCAAAACATTAATTCTTGGAGCTGTCAGTTCTTCTGAAGCAGCCAACTTGCTTGACTGATGAATGGAAGTCCATTGTGAAAACAAAACATGCTGTCCATGGTGCTGAAACGAACTCCATAATGTCCAATTGTAGTCGCTGCCTTGTTGCTTTGTAGACTATAGGCTACATTTTATTTATCCTTTACTCATAGAGATGTAAATGACAGAATATTAAGCAATGACAAGTGCAATAATGTGGAGGAGTTATCAATTCCCTGTTACATATTTGACACATATTTATAATAGGTTAATTTATGGGAGGCTTATTAATTGATATACCTGATTGATGATCTGATCAATCAAGACAGATGCTTCTTCTCACTTCATCACTTAAAGTACTTGTACACTAGCCTATAGCCACATCTAAATATTCTACACATGGCGCCACAACATGTGATGACTCCTTACATTCTCTCTGCAAAAGTGCAATTGGCCAGCAATTTTGCCCGAGGTACGTGAAAACAAGTAGCGAACATGTAGAGAGCTTCACAAGGTTGTTTGTGGTTAATATTTTATTAGGTAAATGTCAGGGCCGAAGAGGATGTTCAATGGTGAAAATAAATAGCATGGAATATTGAGTGCAATGGCAGTACTTTTAAAACGAGGATTCAAATGGGTTATATTTCCTGTTGTACTGAATACCCCTTTTATCTCTTTTTTTTTTATACATGAAGGAGACAAAGATTCCAATTTCCTAGCCGAGACGACCGGGGATTGGAGACGCATATCAAAGGGTAGTTGGTGTGTAGGTGGCTTAACCCAGGACTTTTATATCCCCTCTAAAGTCAGACGTAGTGCGATAATGAGAAAATAAAACATTTCAGGGGTATCAGATGTTAAACCTCTAAATGACCTTTTGGTGTAGGATATGCTATAGGGGCATCCAGAACTCTTATTTATGATGGAAACCGAGATTTATTTTCACCTGCCAGG